GAGAGAGCTCACCAAGACTGAGTGTATGTAGAGAAGAGATCTGTGGACCACCCCCTGGGACACCCCAACATTCAGAGGTCTGGGAGGTGAAATGTTTCTTAGGGTTTCCGATGTACTCTGGTACAAAAGATGTTTTTCAAAAAATTTTATTGGATATAATTCACCCATTTAAATGGCTTTTAGTATATTCACAGTTGTACAACTGTTACAATAATCAGTGTTAGAATGTTTTTATCACCCTAAAAGAAACCACATACCCCCCTCCTCCATGGCCCTAGCAACTACTAATCTACTTTCCATCTTTATGGAATTACCCATTCTGGATATTTCATATCAGCGGAATCATATAATACGTGGTCTGTTTAGAGGAAAGTGGTATCCATTAGTGCCTAACTCGTAAATTTATTAGATACTGAATCAGTTGGTAAAGGGGCTATAAGATTTCTCCACTATAAAGATACATGTTTCTCTTTGTAATTAATAAGAAAACAGTGGGTTGATACTTGAAACTATGAATATTCTGCTTTCTAACCTGTTATCTAGTGGTTTTGGTGTTCAAAAAAATCCTTAAATTAGTGTTATATTGAGATCGTAAAGTGAAGATTTTCTATTACTGTATTTTCAAAGATCATGAATTAATAGTATCTCTAATTCAGATGCTACATAGAATTTTTCCTTTTGTATATGTACATCTTTTACTGCGAAAATCTTGGTTCCAAAGAAATGATTGTTTTATTACTTTTATTTTAAATATAATCATAGTATCAGTATGTTTGCATTATGCTAAATGCACATGAAATACTATCATATACATAAAGTAGTTTCAGAATTACAATACTAATTAGGATTACCAGGTCATAGAAATACACGGTTATGCGATTTTGTTAAATCGTGCTAAATTCATTTCCACAGGGTTGTACTATTTTACTTTCTCACCAGCAGTGTAAGAATCCCTATTTTTCTTTCAATCTCACCAATATATAGTGCTGTTGTTAAACTTTTGAGTTTTTGCCAATCTGATACGTGAGACATGGTATCTCTGTGTGGTATAGGTTTTTTGTTTTGTTTTGAACTTTTCTATTACGAAGAATTGTGAACAATAATTATCAACCCAAGCCATGCCTCCTTCCATTCCCTCCTTCCAAATTATTTAGATAATATTTTATTTTATCTCTTTGTCAATAAATATCTCTCAATTTTTTTATTGCTATTGAATTTTTTATTAACTTTTTGGAGTTTGTTATATGCAATAAACTATGTCCATTTAAAGTTCACAAGTCGATGAATTTCGGCCATATTGTTCCAGGTAGCAGTAGTCCCTCGATACCGTAGAGTGCTATTCCATTGTATAGGCATTCCACGTTTTATCTGTTTACCTATTGATGACATTTGGGTTGTTTCTGCTTTTGCCAATATGAATAATATTACTATAAACATTTCTATATGGGTTTCTGTGTGACTATAAACCTTTAGTTCAGTTGGATAAATACCTAAGTGTGGGGTTGTCGGGTCATATTGTAAGAGTATGTTTAACTTTATTAGAATATGCCAGACTGTCTTCCCATGTTGCTGGACTATTTTGCATTCCCACCAGCAGTGTATGAGAGAGTGTTTATTCTTTATCCTTGTCAGCATCTGGTATTGTCATATTTTGGGGTTTTTTTTTGTTTGTTTGTTTTAGCCATTCTAGTGGTATATCATGGTTTTTATTTGTGATACCTTCCTGACTAAAGATGATGAGCATCTTTTTATGTGCTTATTTATTATTTACATATCTTCTTTATTGGCTTGTCTGTTCATATTTTTTGCCCATTTTTCTATTTGGTTGTTTGTCTCTTTATTGAATTGTAATAATTCTTTGCCTGTTCTTGGTTATCTGTTATTTGATATATGTATATTGAATATTTTCTCCCATTTCATGGCTTGTCTTTTGATTTCTTAATGGTTCCTTTCAAAGAGCAGTTCTTAATTTTGATTAAGTTCAGTATATGAACCATTACATGGTTCAGGCTCTTTGTCTACTCCCCAAGGTCATGAAGACTTTCTCCTACATTTTTTTTAGAAGCTTCAGTATTACAGCTTTGACATTAGGTCTCTGATCCATTTCTAGTTAATTTTTTCCTGCATGGATAGCTAAGTGTTCCAGTCCCATTTGTTGAAAGACTATCCTTCCCCTATGGCATTGCCTCAGCATCTTTGTTGAAAATCAATTGACAGAACGTGTGTACATCCGTTTCTGGATGCCGTGCCGTTCCGTCGATTTATTCTATTTGTCTTTTCACCAATTCTACACTGTCTTTATTGCTGTAGTTTTAAGTCTTGAAATCAAGTAGTGTAAGTCTGTTCTTTGGGAAGTAGATACGACTTTTTTTGTTATTTGCATTTAAGTATATAATAGAATCACCTTGTCCATTTTTATAAACTACCTTACTGGAATTTTGACTGTTTGGATTGTAGCAGCACTTGACTCCTTTCTGCATCTGGATAACATTCTATTGTGTGGATAGACCTCATTTTTATCCGTTCACCTGTTGTTGGAAATACGGGTGGTTTTCACTTTTTTGTTCTTGTGAATAGTGCCGCTATGAACATTCATGTGTAATTGTTTGAGTATCTGTTTTCAGTTCTTTTGAGTAAACACCTAGGAGTAGAAGTGTGGGGTTGTATGGTAATTCTGTTTAACTTTTGAAGAACCACCAAACTGTTTTCCACAGCTCTTGTACCGTTTTACATTTCCACCAGCAATGTCGGAGGGTTCCAGTTTTTCCACATGGTCACCAAGCTTGTTATTTTCCTCTCTTAATTATATCCATCTTGGTGGGTCTGAAGTGGTATCTCATTGTGGTTTTGCTTTTGTATTTCCCCAATGACAAATAATATTGAGCATCTTTTTTGTGTTCTGGTTGGCCATTCGTATATCTCCTTTGCCCATTTTTTAACTAGGTTTTTGTTGTCATGAGAGTTATATATTTGGATGCTAGACCCTTATCAGATATATAACTTGCAATATTTCCTCCCATTCTGTAGGTTGTTTCATTTTTCTTGATGTCATTTAATGCAAAAAAAGTTTTAAATTTTTATTAAGTCCAATTTGTCTTCTTTTTTTTCTTTCGTTACTTGTGCTTTTGCTGTTATATCTAAGAATTCATCACCAAATCCAAGGTCATGAAGATTAACCCCGATATTTTCTTAAGGTTTTATAGTTTTAGCTCTTATATGTAGCTTGTTAATCCGTTTGGAGTAATTTTTTCTATATGGTGTGAGGTGAGGCAGGGGGTCCCGTTTCATTCTTTAGCATGTGGGTATCCAGTTATCCCAGCACCATTTGTCGAAGAGGCTGTTTTCTCATTGCGTGATGTTAGCTCCACATTGAAAATCAGTTGGCCAAAGCTGTATGGGTTTGTCTCTGGGTTCTCAGTTCTTTTCCTTTGGTCTGTGTCTGTCTCGAGGCAGTACTGTGCGGGTTCATAGTTTTTACCTGTAGTGAGTGTTAGGATAGTATAGCTAGTTTTGATGACGTGTTAGAAAAATTTAAAAACTTTGGGTAAATTCTTTAAATAAATTGTCTTTTCTAAATGCCAGATTTATAATAACACACACATACAAACTTAATGGAAAGTTTGGTTTAAAACTTTTTGGTGTATTTCACCGTTTCTCTGGTTGCATATACAATGGCGATTTAGATATACAGTATATAGCAGGGTGTATACTAATTGAATTTTCACTGCGAGTTAAACTTTCCTTGAGCTTTAAATGAAGAACTAGTTACATAAATAAATTCAGCCTGCCCAAAGATGTTGGTGCTGGCTATACAAGCACCAGAATAGGAACAGTCTGCATATTTGCATAACATCAGGAAGGAATTACATATCTAATTTCTAGAGGAAAAAAAATGACTATAAACACTTTTTTTTTTAACCAAGTCATAGTTTTTAACTTTATTCAGTACAATACAAATTTCAGTACTTCAGAATCAGAATATGATATGCCTCTGAAGTCTCTTTTAATCGATAACCTCTCTCTTTCTCTCTCTTATTTTTCCCTGTAGTAATTTTTTTCCTGAAGAAACAGTGTTCTTTGTCCTGTTGTTTTCCACAGTTTGGCTTTCGCTGATTGAATTTCTCTGGTTCATTTTAATATGTTCCTCTGTGTTATTACTTGTTAATTGGTAGTTAGACGTTGGGAGATCTAGAGATTTGATCAGATTCAGTAAAAACTTTTTTTTTTGTTATAGTATGTTCACTTCATTGGTGGTGACGTTTGTATCTTCCGTCAGGAGGCACATAATACCTACTTATCTCTCTCTTTGTGGTGTCGGCTAACTTTATTTTTATTCATTTTTTTAGTTTCATAGTTTTAACAGTTCAAAGGGTTTTGGAGAGACAGGATGGTGCAGAGATTAAAATATAAGCTCTGAAGTCCAAGAATCTGATTCATGTTTTGATCCATTACGTACTAGTTCTCTAATCTTGGAAAGTCACTTCCCCTTCTCACGGTTAAGTTTCTTCTTTGTGAAACAGGGAAATTGATGCCTACTCGTAGGGTCATTTTGAGGATTAAATGAGAAAGTGCGTGGAAAAGAATCACACAGAGCCTACCATATAGGAAGTGGCCAGTAAAGGTTAGCTACTGTTTTGTGAATTTAAAAGTATTCTAAAACAGTCTGAAAAGTAGATTATCTCGATTTATAAGTGAGGAAATAAAAGTTTGGATACCTAATTTTTTGGCTCACTTGGGTTTGTTTAGGGAAAAAGTAAATTATTCAACGGAGGGGAATATTTCTCCTTTGTCCTCATCACTGTGAACAGTTACACTTGATAACCACTCATTATAAGCTGAATTTCAAAAGTGATTTTTGGCCATGCTTTGTATGTATTCACATTAACCAGTCCCCACCAGTGTTGGAAAGTAAGCTCCTTGTTGAACAAATCATACCAAAGCGTATTTTATGCTTGAAGTCCACTGAGAAATACTTACTGTTCATATTTTTTATTTTACAGTGTAATGTTCAGGCTCAGAAATGCCTTATGTGGATCGTCAGAATCGCATTTGTGGTTTTCTAGACATTGAAGAAAATGAAAATAGTGGGAAATTTCTTCGAAGGTACTTCATACTGGATACCAGAGAAGATAGTTTTGTATGGTACATGGATAATCCACAGGTTTGTAAAATCCAAAGTGTTACCTTTTTGTAAAAGCATCTAAGAGTTTTAATTCTTAAAGTATTTGATATACTACGCTGATGTTAGGATTCGTCTTCCTAAGCAGTATATATTTAGATCATTTCTGGTTTCACTCTCTTTGCCCTGCATACCCAACTCCTACTGTCTTATTTATAGTTCGGGAGATAAAATGCTAAGTTTATTTGATAAAAATTTATGCGTCATATCTGTTTTTCTTCCCTTGGGAGAGAAACGCTATCTCTGGTAGATATTTCAACGTCATTTAGGTTTAAGGTACCATCTCTAGGATAGAGACTACTATCTTTTGATAAATAAACTAAAATTAGTCGACCCCCTCGCATATATGTGGTCCTTTCATCTCGTAGTGTCAAACTTGAGTGTCCGCCGTTGTAATGCCATTCATGAGTTGAAATCCACTTTGATTTTATTGTTGCCTTGCACATCGTTGGGTTAAATATCATAAATTAAAAATTAGAAAAAATTAGCATTCTAATTTTAGGATCCATGAGAGACCTTGGGTTAGAGATCACCTGTTAAACAGTTTTAGATTTTCTCTACGTGTGAAGCTATTCAAATTGAGATGTCTACTGCAAAGAAGTATGTGCAAAGCAAGGGATGAGTCCCTCGCAAACTTCTGAACTAACACAGTCTCCTGGGCTAATGCAGATGAGGAACCTATGGGTGAGGGGAACCTCAGGGACCGACTTCCAGGAGGCTCCCTTCTGTTTCACAGAGCAGGAGCTCACAACTAGTCCAGTATTCTGTACTACCCTGTACTGACTTTCGATGAGATAAAGTACGTGTATGCTAATGCATTTACACTTGTTTATATAGACTTCGAGTTGTAAGGGACCTTGCTATTAATTCAGCCTCCTTAGTGCAAGAAACTCATTTATCCCTGATCTTTACTTTAGCTGTTGTTTGAACTACACATTACTAAAAAGTACATATTATATTTAAGACAGCTTTAATTATTATTTGTTCTGTGAGCCATATCTCATTTCTTATACCTTCTACCCATTAATCGTACTTTTGCCCTCTGATTCTCTATAAAGTTTAGACCATTATCCATATGCAGCCTTTCACATTTTGGAGGATAATTTGTATTTTAATTCAGTTTATATTATTTGAGTGCTGACTTTGTATGAGACTGTTTTGCTAGGAACTGCCTTGTCTCTGTCCTTATCCTTAAAAGCTTACGCACACTCGTTTTACTCCCTTACCTCTGTAACCAGTTTTCTTGGTGGTAGTCACCTGGCTATGCAACCACATGATTCATGCCTTGGTTACATGACCAGAGTCAGTGGGAGAAGGAACAGGTCAGCAGAAAGCCAAAGTTCATCTTTACCTTTTTAAAACAAACAAACAAAACATAAATCATGTTCCTCCCTTTTGTGGCACAATCCCCTCCCAAACTCCTTTTCCCAAAGTAGAAAATAACTTCGTCCCCCTGAGTCCCTCTAAGTACTGTTTACTAAGTTCCAGTCTCTGGTCCCTCTCAGCCATGTGAGCCATTGCTTAGTTCTGCCTCTTCTCTCCTTCGTTTGTCTCTCTCCACAAGATATGCTTTCTCCTGAATTTTATTTAAAACTCCTTGATTGTTTTTCTGTCTTCATATATAATAGATTCTCCTTCTCAGAATTTCTCCCTTTACCAGTACTAAAAGATAAATAAATAAAATAGAATATGTTTTATTACACAGACAGGAACGTAAACTTGGAATTCAGCTAGAAGAGGGAGATCAAGTCTTCATGGAGGCGGTAACATTTGAAATTAACCTAAAAGTATGGGTATGATTTCGGCCAAGAGGTGGAGAAGTGGGTATTCGGTGCTCAGAGAACAGCAGGGGCAAAGAAACCAAAGCACGACACTGCAGCAGGGAGGGTGTCTGTTGGAGCTGGCACTCAACCAGGTCTTCCTCCCGTGAACTCTTTCGAAGCCAGATTTTTGTGGTGTCATTAGTGCATTGGTTTTTCCGAACGTAGTGCAGAATTTTAAATATGCCTTTTTATTTAGTTCCTAATAATGTTATCACTTCATTCCAGTTGATGAGATTCTTTTACAGTCTTGATTTTTCCAACCATTGTATTAGCCACCAATACCAGCTTCGTGTCACTTTTAAATGTATTAATCAAGACTTATAGCTCTCTCATGAAAACTTTAGTAAAATGTCTTGCTTAAGAGTGTTAAATTCAACCACACGAAACTGATAATGTATCCTCCCTCCCCGCCACCTTCATGTACTAAAAAATGGCAATATGATGGCTGATGTTTTGGTGCGGTGACATGTCCCACTGATCCTGACAGCCCTGGTAATGCGAGAACATTGGTGGCTCACCTGCCTTCACGGAGCCGTGCTTCCGTTTTGTTTCCCTTACCACTGTTGGTTTGAAAGTCCATTCTGGTGTATTACTGGGATCAGCTTGGGGCTTTCTGTGATGTATTAAGGGCATGAGTAATGGTGGAATAGTAAATAATTAAGTAGCTGTATTGGGAAGTGAATTCGAAGAAACCTGAAAAAATGTTTTGGTGAAAAGAGTGCAGGAGCTCATAAGAACAAATGCCTCATTTCCCTTTTTATCTTAAATGTCATATTAGTTTATTATTTCTTGTTCCTTGTCAAGTAACACATTTGGAAACCCACTTTTCTTCTGGTCAAACTTGGCAGCAATTATACTGGTCATAGGAACTAGATATTTTGAATATCCTTTATTTCTCAGCTACTTGGATTTCTCCGTACTGCGCCACTGTTTAATCTGTGACCCTTTATGTCATCCAGCCATGATATAGTGTCTCATTTCTTTTCCTCACACAAAGGCTTGGAGCTGTCTTCATCTAGGCAAGATAGTAGAGTTATGGAGGACTTAAAAGAAAAATTTTGAATGGAAGGGTAGCAGTGTTTGGAAAAAATTGCTTTCATAGTAGTTAGGTCTTGAAGACATTTTAACATTTTATTTCCTTATCCAAACTTAAAGAAAAGAAAAACAAAAACACTCTAACCATAAAATATTTTGTATAAGAATACAATCATTTAAAGTTACTTACACATTAAAAAGTTATAATTCTATATCCGTATTTATTTAGGGTTTATATTTGGAAGCTTTTTTTTTAAGCCCACGAAAGAGAAACTAAGTTCAACTGCAATGAGAAAAATAGCCTTTTAGTTATAGAAAGTATTAAGGTGGAACAGAGTAGAGTTCACTTTTGTTATCCACATTGTCAACTTGATTTCAGACATAGTAAATGCCTAAACTGAAAAGTTGCTTTGTAATATGTGATATTGAAAAATCTTATTTTCAGTATGTGTACAGTATTATAACATAAATTTGTAATGGTGGATATTAATTGTACGTTAATCATTTATTTCCAGAACCTGCCTTCTGGATCGTCACGTGTCGGAGCCATTAAACTCACCTACATTTCAAAGGTAGGCTTTCTGTGTCGGGTTATGTGTATGCGTGGGTCACAATCCCTCGGGACGGGAGTGCGAGTAAAAGCGATTTCCTTTCTGTGTCATTTAATGATGATGTTCAGGTTCACATAATGCTGAAAATAGTACCTGATTACTATGTTTTGTCGTTGTTTGATAAAATTAGAAAAAATACGGAGATAATATAAGGCGTGGCAAATTGTGGAAGTTAACATTAACTTTTATGATCAGGTATATAAATATTAGAAGGGGGAAGTCAGTTAACAGGTTCTCTCTCTCTTTGGGAACAATGGAGATGTTTTTCTAACTCCATTATATTTAAGCCATTTCTAATTTTTAATTCCATAACCTTTGACTTTTTGTTTATATTTTATTTGGGGTAAAATATGAACCATCTTCATGATGAAAGGATGATTTTTCCCTCGGTTCACTCTGTTTCTTAAATCTCTTGTTTGTTGATTTTTTCTGGCATTTTTGCAATACATTTTTTAAAAATTTAGATTCGTTATTATCAGACAGTATTTATTTCTTTTATTGGTGTTTTGGGAACCAAGATAGGCATGCTGAGGAGCTAGCCCTCTGAGTTTTTTGTATTTTACACAAAATAATACACTTGTTGATGACTTAATGTGTGAAATATGAGGAGCACACAGTGTGATTCAGTGATGCGCATATGCGTACTATTCTGCACAACAGTGATTCAGTGATGCGCATATGCTTACTATTCTGCACAACACAGTGTGATTCAGTGATGCGCATATGCGTACTATTCTGCACAAACTGCTATTCGATTAGTTAGCACAGGTCTTTATCAGAAGACCAATTTGCAAGTGTGCCTCCGTTTAAAAGGTATTTTTTAAATAAAATATTTTATCACTGTAACAAAAGAGCTATTCAGTCTCACTGACAAAAAAATAATTAGCCCTTGGACAATAAAGATTACATTATTTAAAGGGAAACATGTTAAAGCCGTATTTTGTAAATTTATAAAACAAATATTGTTTGTTTGCCTCAAGTATTCCTGTAAATTAAAACATTTAATTTACATCATTTAATTTGCATCCAGGTAGCTTGCAACTTATATTCTAAAGAGACTATTAGGAAGTGTAGCATGTCATTATAAAAGTTCTAGATCCTCAATTGGCTTGATGCCTACACTGTATGCATCCCATCATGTAAACACGCTGCAAGCATTTTCGACTCTCAGTGATGTGATGTGGAAAGGCCTATTTTACTGAAATAAGTTGAGAGAGAGATTGCCCATCTGCTGGTATCTTTTTCAGTTGCTCGTTGCCTGGTCTTTTTAAAAATGAGATCCTTTTTTAAAAATAAACTATTAACTAAGCAGGCAGGCTGACTGGCCAGCTGCTGTTTTTTCTCCATTGCTCCCCTTTTAAAATATAACCTCTGTGCAGTTCTGGTAGCTTTCATCTCTGCCCCACAGCCTACGGAAGTTTGAATTGTACACTTTGTACTCTACTTTAGACATGCCACTTTTTTTTCCAGAATTTATTCCTGGAACAAATTTCAGTGTGACTCAGAGCTGTGAATTTATAGTTGGGATCAGTCAGGAACCCCAGACTTAGAATTCCTTTTGAAGGTACAAAACAGATGCTACAGTTCTAAGTCCTGACGCTGGACAGCAGCACAGCAGTCGGCATGAGTGGGCTTCCAGACAGCTGCCTCACGTGGAGGCTGGTGGCGCCCAGGCCAAGCGCAGTTAGTCGCTTCAGCTTCTCAGAGGAGCCGCGCATTCCACGGAGTAAGGCGACCCCGTCATCCTGGACTGTTCTAATGTACAAGAGGGCATCCAGTGCCATTTTGATTTTCCTCGTTGCAGATTAATGCCTTCTGGGTTTTTGGACTTTCTTAAGTACACAGTCTCCCCTTTGCTCACCATCATTTTCTCTTATCACTGACAGCTAATTTAGAAATAGACAGTCTGGGAAGAATTCGTCCTTTCTGTAGAGTATTCATTTGAGGGTGTTTTGAAAATTATGTTAAATGAAAAATAGTAATATGTGTGACATAAAACTTAATCATTTACTTTCATCTCCTTCACGTTTCCTTGGAAGAAGAAAACAAGCTTGTTCAAAGAGAACATTGAAGCATCATTTGTTTTAAACACCTTGCAGTTGGGACTCATCCTATATTTAATTTGCAGTTCTTTTTCAGTTGCCTTTAAAATTTAATTTTATATCTGTGTGTTAGATGTGTATGATTATTGGGAAATTACACACTCGGAAGTTACACAGTATTTAAGGCTGGTTATCGTAGCCCATGAAGAAGTGTAAGTGATTCTCTCTCTCTCGTTAGGTTAGCGATGCAACTAAGCTGAGGCCAAAGGCTGAGTTCTGCTTTGGTAAGTTGCTGTATTTTATGTGAGTTATTTGAAGTTAGATTAATGTAATTACACCATATTGTAAAACAGTCACCAAAAACAACACAACACAACCCTAATGGCTAATGAATTATTCTAAGGCAAATTCCCTTGAAACCCCCATCCAGGTGAAGAAATAAAACTGCTCTCTCACCCCTGAAGCCTCTTTCCTGAGTCCCATCCCGCTCCAGCCCCCTCCCTCTGTCCATGTGTAATCATTGTCTAGGTCTTTACAGTGATCACCCCCAGCAAGGTTTCAGGTAATACTTAACTTTCTACCTTGTATTAGTCTATATTTAATACATAAATAATGAAAGGATTTGTTTTTCAGCTGGTAGGTAATGAGAAGTTCATAGCGTGGGGTAATCGAGGGTATCTGATTAATTCGTTCATCAGACATTTAGTGAACGTCTCACGTACGTGCACCGTGCTCGTCTCTGGGGCTGTGAGGGTGGCAAGATGCGATCGCCGCCCCTGTGACTCTCACAAGCTGGTGTCTCGCAGGCAGATACAGTGCCAGGTGATTCCTGCATTCATCACGGTCAGAAAAGGAGTGCGCAGTCTCCTTTTCTGACTTTTCTAGGGGCAAGTCAAGTAACAGAGAACTTTGTATTTTAGAATTTGTCATACACGTATTCTCGGCAAGTCTTTTTAATATAAAATCTCAAGCTTACATTTTGAACGAATAGGAATATATAGTAATAGATTAGACATTCAGTTATGGGAATATTTAGAGCGGGTAATTTTAGTTGGAATCAAAGATTAAGACTGATCATTTATTGGTCTGCTAATAGTTAGTCCTCTGCTACCAGAGAGGATAGAGAAAAGATTCATAAATGCTTGCCTTTGGAGAGGGAGCCTCTGGCTTGTAAAATGGAACCACAGCTTCCACTCAAAATGGCAACATTGGCTTTCCCACCTCTGCTTCCTCAGATTGCTCAAAAACAGTGAGAACAAGAAACATTCAAACCATCTTTGATGAAACTAGCAGACATCTGTAACCCACAGTGTATAAAGATGGAAGGCGGATGGAGGGGGGATGATAAACAACTTAGTAGAGTTGGCCATTGCAGTGTCCTGCCCATGCTCCAACTCTAGGTAGACTTGGATGCTGGATTTGTCTGGAGAAGCAACAGTGAGGAGAGACCAAAAAAAGGGACTTTGTTTGAACATCTATATAAGAAACAACCTCTAACCTGTACCTGCGTCTGGCTCAGTCAGGCAGCCACCCCCCATTCCAGCAAGTAATGGCATGTATAGTGTCTCCAGAAATAGAATCAGTGAGGCTGTGCCCTTGCGAACACTAGTTCCAGAGAAGAGAGATGAAGCACGACACCGAAAATAGGATTGAATGAAAGTCTGCACACTGAATGCAGCCCTTTCCTTCATCCCGCCCCAGAGCATTGGAGAGCCACGTGTAGGTGGGCTAAGAATCCGAACACCCCAGAGAAGAGAGCCGGGGGAGCTGACCGCTGCGCGTTTCTGCTAAAAGACTGTGTACAGCGAAGTCCACCAGTCAGCAGTCCTACATGCGTTCAAGAGCTTCTAATCAGAGTTTTAGTACCTTATTTTGAAACATGAATAGATAGCCCAGGATTACATGACTTTTGAGAACTATCAAATAGAAAAAGGAACATGAGGCCATGCAAAACTCAGGAAAAGAAAGTCAAAAAAACCTAAAAGGAGAACAGAGATAAAGATGGATAATGGGAGAGAAAAAAGAAAATTAGAGGTTCCATCAGGAAAGTCCAACGTCTGACTGATAGAGGAGGAGAGGATAGAGAAAGAATAGAGGAAATGGAATTGGCGAAATAACGTGATGTAATTTCTCATAACCATTTGATCCATAAGCATATGTGAACCATAGCGAGATTGAGCCTAGTTTGTGAAATGGTTACTGTTTGCAGTCATGCTAATATTTGTGCTTCAGGTTTTGATCTATTCACTCTGATAGTAAAAATTCGAAATGAAATAAAGAAGTGCTCAAGTGAAAAGGTAGTGAAAACCCAAGCCTGTGAGATATGTTCCTTCATTAGAGACGACGAAACTTTAAAAGCATGGCAACTTCGTGCCTGATCCCGTCTGATCCCGGAAGCTAAGCAGGGTCGTAACCCAAGCCTGTGAGATATGTTCCTTCATTAGAGATGACGAAACTTTAAAAGCATGGCAACTTCGTGCCGATCCCGTCTGATCCCGGAAGCTAAGCAGGGTCGGGCCTGGTTAGTAGTTGGATGGGAGACCCCCTAGGAAGACCAGGTGCTGTAGGCTTTAAATAAAAGCATAGCAACTTCGACGTTTCATACATTTTTTTTTTATTCAGAGTTTTATTTCCTCCTTTCTCTGTCCCCTCCCCAATAATGCAAATATGCTACTTTTCAGTAATTTTCCACCAAGCTTTCTTACTTGGAAGTCTCCAGATAACATAAGCAGTGGAAGGGAAAGATGCTGAAGAAGAATATTTTGTCCCACGCACTGTGCAGTTTTCTTACATACATCACCTCTACCCCTCAAGGAAGGGATGGCTGGCATTCCGTGTCCTAGACGAGAATAACAGAGCTCAGAGAGATTAAGTAATGTTTCTAAGATGATACTGCTAATCAGTGCATAAGCTAGTCAGGTCTGACTCTAGGCTCTGATTTTTTTAACCCATCACATCACTATGCCTCTTGAAACAATACTTAAAGCACATGAATTGTTATTCAGACTGCAAGGTGTGCTAAGAGTCTTTTTAGAGGTATATTTGCCTCTCTTTCCCATAAAAGAGATCCTTATATAAATGTTATTCATGCAAAAGCGTGTGTGTTAAGTAAGCACTTGCTTGGTGGCAGGTGTACTGTATCACTAAGTGCTTAGAGTTCATACTCTCCAGACGCTCTAGGCAGTTTCCCAAAACAGCCTTGAGAGGAAGAAGCCATCATGAGAACTCAGCCTAAGCTGGGAAAAGACGCTTTACTGATTGTTAGAGATTAAAAGCAGAAGCTAAATGTGGACATTGTCCTAGCGAGTTAATTTATCTTAGTTTATCTTTATGGCATTTATAATTTCTCCAGCCTCTAGTAAGATATGAAAGAACTGATTTACAGTGTTTTAAATTTCTTTAGTTTTCAGTCTAGTTGTTTTATAGCACTTCACAAAAAATTATTTGATTTCCTTTATGAGATTCTCATCTCAATTCAAGGAAGCTCTGCTTTAGTGTCTTGGTCTCAGTTCCAATTTCAGAATCTTATGCATTTGAGAAATAACTTATTTTCCCTAAAGGGTTACATCTCCTCGTTCCCTTGGTCGTATTCAGCTGAGTGCTGGTATACCATTTAAAATTTCAATGGAGACTTCTGGAAATTATTCTTACATTTCAAAAATTGCAACACCGTAAGCTATTCAAATAATCCTAGAATATTTGTTTAAAAAATAAATGCATGCGATATGTAATTAGTAAGTTTTAATACAGGAGTTGTAGTTTGTCGGCAACTGTATATGCAGAGGTAGGCTTTGCTTTATACAAGTAGTCACTAAAGGGGCGTATATAAATTTAATTGCATAAAAGTTCCAAATGTATTAAGATTTTAAATATAAAGAAAATGCATAAGTGCTGGAAAGTAAAGGTGTTTATTTTTATAATCTTGAGTTGGGGAGATTTTTTAAATATGTTTGATAAAAGATACCATGAACAAAGTGAAGAAACAAATGACAAACTGGAAAAAGTACTTGAAATAAAAAAGTAAGAACTCATATAAAAACTCTTATAAGTCTATAAAAAAATAAACGAACAACTCAGGAGAAATATGAGTAAAGAAAATATACAAAGTTCACAAAACAAATACATGTGGCCAATAAACATATAAAACTAATTTATCTCAATAATCGCAGAAATTCAGATTTAAACAAGGTATAATTATTCGCCAATTGGGTAGTCAGAGTGCTGTATTAGTCAGGGTCCAGTCAGAAAAACACACGAAACCAGGTATTTCAAACCCAGCGGATTTGTTAAAGGGATTGGTTACCAAAATGTTGTTAAAGCTGAAAAAGTACAAAGGGAATGATGAACTGACCCACAAGTTAGAAACTGCATGACGCAGCTGCCACCCCCAGGGCTGGAGAGACGAAAGAAAAGGTAGTATTACCAGAGCTTTGGAGGGGGCCACCAGGGGGCTAGTGCCTGGCGTGTGCTGGGACCCCAAGGCTGGGTAGGAGGCTGAAGCAGCTGCTTGTGTGCTGCTGCTGCTGCTCGAGAGAGGTCAGCAAGAGCAGGGATCTGCAAGAGACCCCTCTTCTCATTGGTCTCCCCACCTTCCCATATCCCCTCCGAGCGTCCCATTGGCAGAA